AACAACCACCCAAAATTCCTTCCCTAATAAAACTGCCACCTTACAACCACTGCCCAATCATCCTGATCATCTACTAATACCTCCAAGCCCTTAACAACCACCACCACCATCTTAAATCCGATTTAGTGCGAGTTTTTGTTTTGTATTTGTTATAATTCCCCTTTCGGTGTGTGAGTTATAAGTATTTATTTGCTTTCGAGAAATAATATTTGTTTTCCCTATTATGGTTTGGGATAACTCCGGTATCAGGGGCGGTGATAGTACTGAAGCTCTTGATGAATCACCTCTAAAAAGATGTTAGCCCAGAAACTACCACATTTTGTTGAACGACTGTGGTGCAATCCAGCTCACTATGACCTTGATTTTTGTCGGAACCATCTGAATTCCAACAGTAGACACGATGTGAACCGAAAAAAGACTTTGTATGCCATAAAGTGGCAATTCTTAGGATTGACATTTAGCTTCTCTTCACACAATACCTCGAGCACTGCCCTTAGGTGTCGTAAATGTTCCTCCTAAGATCGGTTGTACAGCAGAATCTCATCAAAGTAAATCGCCACAAATTTCTCAATGTGAGACCAGAATACCTGATTCATTAACCTTCAAATTTCTCAATGTGAGACCAGAATACCTGATTCAATAACCTTATAGAAGTATTGGGCGCATTTGACAAGTTGAAGGCCATAACGGGCCACTCATATAAAACCATTTGTGTTTTAAACGTGGTCTTCCATTTGCCTCATGGCATCATCCGAATTTGGTGATACCCACTCCGAAAGTCGATCTTTGGAAAAGACGATAGCTATGTGTAACTAGTCCAAGAGATTGTCCAAGCAAGGTATGAAAATTGGTACTTGAAGGAAGTCTTGTCGATGGTTGTCAATGTGAATCCGCCATGAATTGTCCTTCCTGGGTAGCATGAACAGCTACGCTCTTAGACGAACCCTCTTAAACGAGACCCTGTACTTATCGCTTCAAATCCACATACTCTGCAGGTATCAATCTGTAAGCGAACTGATTCGGCAACACTGATCCTAGTATGAGATCTATGGCATGTTTAATGTCCCTCAGCAGCGGTAATCCCATTGAATTATTGTCGTTCATCACATCCTAAAAGTCCTGTACTGGTGTTGGTATCTCACTCTCTTGAGCTCCTTCAAGTAAGATTAATGTCTGTGCCCTTGGAGCATCTTGAATTGATTGCATGAAGGTGACCCTTAGGACTAAGGCTGCTGCCTGAATAAAAGATTGATGGCTCTATGTTTTGTTGTTTTTTCACCTTCAATGCTAAAGTTTGAATGCCCCCTAATAACTAGTTTGTCTGTAACTGCACAACATTGTTAATAATGAGCTTCAGGTCAGCTATGTTTCAGGATATAACGTGTTCCTATGACTCGATCAACTCATATTTCATCTGTAGCTAGTCATACTATATCATGAACTCCTCTACTGAAAGGTTTGTAGAGTCTCAGAAATATGTCATGGCAGCAATGAAGTAAAAAATATTTCTTCTGCATTGCTTTCTTCAGCTTTTCCCATTTGGTAGTCTTATCATTGACTTCTTATTTCCTTTGTCTATGTAAATTCTCCCACCATAATAAGGTGTTTTTTTTTTTCAATTTGATGTCTGCTAATTTCACCTCCTTATAATCAAAGATTCTCTTAACAGATTACATACTCACATCGAACTCTGTTAGATACATTTTGATGGTGAAGTTCCTGTGTCCTCCATATATAGACTCATCTCTCATCCTCCTTTTATAATGAATTCTGAAGCGGCGTGACCGGCACTCCTTGTCGATGATATCCTCCATGTGGAACAGATTCAGATCATTGTCCCAATCTTTCCTCTAACTCTCCAGATCACGATCGAGAGTAATCTCCTCATGGTTTCATCCACAATTGTCACAAGCTTCGGTTGAAGTTGATGGATCACCCTCCATATCTCGTCCTGGTAGTTTTCAGTATGTATATCCATAGTGGCATGATTAGGCTTTATATTTGGAAGCAGTGGTTGAGGATAGAAAAGAAAATTTTTTGGCAGAAAGTTAAGGCGGATGCTAGAAAACCCTTGGTACCATAAATAATCTAAATATTAGCAAATATGATTATTATTGTTGAAACTTAGAAAGAAACACAATAATGTTCCATAAGACCGAAAATAAGAAGACAAATCTACAAACGGGGCTCTTTGGTGAGGGTGACTGTGATGACTTCAAGCTAGCTAGCAAGTGTGTGAATGGGCCATGGTGTTATGGCCACAATCACGTGGAGGGAAGGTGGGAAGAAGCAGAAAAGTAAGGATGACGACAGGGAAAGAAGCGGAAGGGTAGGGCGGCTACAGGAAGGGTGCAAAGAAGGCGAGTTGACAATGGGAAGAGTGCAAGGACAATGAGTTGTGCCTGAATGGTTGCGAAAGAGGTCGGTCGGTCACAGGAAGGTTGCAAGGACACTGAGCGGCTACTAGAGGGCGCGAGAGAGGCTAGTCGGCAATAGTGAGATGCGGGGACATTGTGCGATAACAAGGGTGTAGGGATGTTAGACAACAACCAGGAAGGTGTCAAACAACAAGAAATTGACGATATAATCACCAACTAGAAGCAGGATATACCCAAAGCACCAACTGTCCTCGGATAGAGCCCTAAAATAGGAAGAGATGCTTGGCAGCAAGAGCTCTGAAGCATACACCAAGGTACATCCTCCTGTAAGTGTCCAGTAAGACCATCCATAACCAAAGCAAAAAGATATGGGCTTAAAGCCGATCCCCCTGATGTAAACCAACAATGTAAACCAACAGAAATAGGAAAATATTCAGTCAATCCTCCTATTGTTCGAACACAAGTAACAGTATACATATGTTTAATGACATGCATATAAGTCATATCAACACTTTCCATCTCAAGAACTCTACAAATGATATCTCTCAGAGCCTTATCATAAGATTTTCTAAATCAATAAAAATCAAAATAAAAATCAAATGCAGATCCTTTCCTTCTTATTATCTCTGAGCTTTTCCATCAAACCTCTCAATAAATGTATAACTTCCATACTAGGCCTGCCCGGCAAAAATCCAAATTGATTATGAGGAATCGGTGCAATACGTCTTAACCTATGTTCAATTAGGGTCTCCCATAATTTTAAAATAGGGCACATCAACTTAACTCCTCTATAATTTACACACTCTTATGCATCCCCTTTATTTTTAAAAATGAGGACCAAAATACTCTTCCTCCACTCCTCGAGATCTTTTTAGTTTTCAAAATCATATTAAAGAGTTTAGTAAGTCTAAAAACTCCCAAATCTCCTAAACATTTCCACACTTCAATTGGGATATCACCAGGTCCTACAGACCTTCCACCACCATTGGTTTTTCCACACTTCAATTGGGATATCACCAGGTCCTACAGATCTTCCACCACCATTGATTTTCTTTAAAGTCTTTTCAACTTCTTTTTTACTAATGTGAAGGTAAAAATGAAATATTTTATTATTATTAACGTTATTAAGATCACTAATCTCGATCTTATTTTACGAAATATCATTAAAAAGCTTATCAAAATAACTCGCCCACCTATTTTGAATATATTTTCTCTAAGAAAAACACTTTTTGATTTTCATCTTTAATCCACATGAGTTAAATTTATTTTTCTTTTCTCTTTGTTTGGCTAGTTTATACATATATTTTTCACCCTTCTAAGTATCTAATTTATTATAAAGAACACTAAAAGCAGAATTTTTAATGATATAAAGATTACTAAAAGCAGAATTTGCTAGATACCAATTGAAAAAAAAGATGAATGAGTTCAGTTTGGTAAGGTCTCAATGGCAAGCCAGCCTCCAATAATCAAATGGATTAAGAGGAGAATAACCTGGAAAGATTTTTTGGAGATAGAATAAAGTGGTTATCCCATCCTCATTCCTCTTTTGAAGTTCGTCCATACTATAAAGCACGGTCTCAGAATAGTATGGAGTAAAGACACTACAAGATGGAAAGCAGACAAACAAGATTTATTCACCAAAACAAAACGCATACATAAATAATAACACTGTAAAAATTCCAATAAAATACCCAAATGACAACGTCTCTGAAACTGGCCTAGCAGCTGGCATTTGCATGAAGAGGGAGTTAGTAAAAAATTCCAGCCGACGCCTAGCCTCTAGATTTATAGGCACATTTGCTGCAGATTCTTTGATGGTCAGCAGGGAATGCAACCGTTTGATCTGAGCTTTCTGTATGATTTAATTGTACTTGGTCACATGTACTAAGCTTGTCAATTTTGACATCCAGCTTCACATATACAAATACGAAATGGGAAAACCATAAAACATACCAACTCAGGATCTCCGGGCCATTTAAGATTAGAAAAGAGTCGTCCATCAGCCCTTGCTTTAGATATTTGATTCCACACGTCAAGGTTAGCCCTTCAGAGGGATTAAATAAAAGGAATTTAAAGAAAAAGGGAAAAAAAAGGGTAAATCCATGAAATAATGGGAATTATCACTGACCCCATGTCTACAAAAACAATATCATGCTGTACAACATCATAAAGATCTTGCATAGCACTGACAGCGCCCTTTTGAAGTTCAGGAGATTCTTCTCCTCTCTAAGTAAAAGAAATGATAGAAATCAACAGCTGCTATGTTTGAAAGAATCTATAATATGATCTGTATGGATAATTACTGAGCAATTATTCAAAACAAATAGAACTCTCAACAAGTCGAATGTTCAAATAACTTCATGAAAAAATTGTGGATAAATAAGACATGAAGAAGAAGTATGACATTTGCATGTTAGTCAAAATCAATAAAGTTAACCTACATACGAAGGACAAGCAAAATTGCCACATAACAGTACCATATAACAGATATTTGCATATTACATGACTGAAAAATGAAACCTTTATGTAACACATTGTACAAATATACTTATAAAAATATAATTTTTCTGGTGTTACAGAACAGTACATTAATTCAAATGTAACACATACAGAAATGACGCTAATGCTGACAACAACAAAAGAACCAACGATTTCTTGAAAAGCTTTGCACCAAAAACCTAGTTATTCATATATAAATTTCCCACTACCATAATGAAACAAATAAAACGGTTGACATGTAAAGCTAAATTCGTAATCTACTAGTATTTATTTGCATTTTCTTGTGTTAGGGTTTAGTATTTGCTTGTGTTCTATTAGAATAGCCTCTGGCATCCCATTTTCCCTTCGAGGGATGGTATCCGACGGTGAAAATGTACTCGGGATGTAACTCGTCCCGAGGTAGTAGGTATCTTCTTGTTATTGCTTACTGCCACCTTTCCCCCACCGCTGCCAGTCTGCTTCTGCCTCCCTCTGTTGTTGTCTATCCCTTCCACACACTCATCCGTTCCCCGTTGTCTAATTACCAACATTCCTTTCAGTGACAGTTTCCCTCTGCCAGCCGCTCCTTGTCTTCTGGGTGGGGTGGTGACTTACCCTTAAAAGTGACAGAGTAAGACGAAGAGGCAAAAAGGAAGAGAAGTTCAACCCCTTCCATGCCATAGCATTTCAGAATCCAGTATTAGAGGAGACATCATTTTGAGGACACAGAGACTTCAGAATGAAGGTGGATCTACCAGAGTTCGATGCAGATATGGATACATATGATTTTATCAAATCGCTACAACTAATTGAGAGGATCATTGAGTACAAAGAGGTGTCAGAAGATAAAAGGGAGAAGATTGCAGCTATCAAATTGAGAAATAGCGCCACAACCGACAGAGGTAGGGGCAGAGGAAAAAAAAGGCAGTGATAAAATTTTCAAGCAGGAAAAGGTGAAGAAAGCGATGCAAAGGAAATACCTCCCACCCCACTACCGCCAGGACATGTTTTTCAGACGCTTCCACCTGCAACAGAGTGACCTATCAGCGGAGTTGTCCACGATGTTGTCTAACCAGTTGCAGGTAAAGTGTTATTTGGTCGAGTCAGAGAAACATGCCATAGCATTATTTGGGGGGTATGAAGCCCACTATTAGGAAAGTGTTACAACTGCAGCCTTATTGGTCACTTGAGAATATCCAAACCTTAGTATTAAAAGTAAAAAAAGGCAACAGAATCAAAGCAAGCAACCTCCACCAGTCAAGAAGCCAATCACAGTTGGAGACACCCGCAGGAGCACCCTCAAGGAATTGAGAAAGCTAGTTTGAATAAGAATAGAGTCACCTACAGTGAGAAGAAATCTAAGAAGAGTAGAATGTCTGCATTAATCTCCGCTAAAAAATACTTCAAATGTCACGAATTCGGGCACATTGCTCCCAGCTACCCGACGAGCCAAGTTTTCTCTTTTATCGAGCAGGGTATCATGGAGGAAGTTAGCAACAAAAAGACAGTGGAAGAACAAGGTGAAGTGTACATCTTCCACCGAATGAAGAAGAGGTGCTCGTGATTTGATAGGTCATACAGACCGAGGATATGACGGATTTGCAGTGGCGTCGTTGTTGATCGCTAAATTGGGAAAGAGACATTTGATTTAATATAATATATGTATACATAGTTTTGAAATGTAATTGTTTAATTTTGAAAATACGAGACCGCGCTGATCTCATATAAACCATAGTTTAAATAAACGAGCACAACATCGTAAGTAATACATCTATCCTGAAGAATAGACATATTACTTACTAGTGAGACTCGATTAAATAAACTACAGAATTTATGACATCTGTTTTAGTCTGCAGACATTTATGTTGACCGACAAACATTCCTACCTAATATTAAAAATTAGATATGGTATATATTTCTTGAGTTCTTAAAGCTCCCTATAGAGGCAAACCCTTATAGTTAATTACCCCTCAGATGACTCAAATCACTTAAGAGAACTCTCGATGATGATCAGAGGTATCTATCTTCGTGAATTCAATATTTAGGGTTTTCAAGGTTGGACATAGAAAAATCAAGTGGGAAAAAGACCAAATATAAAAAATTATTTCTGGAGTCAAAGGAAAGAAAAGTAGAGGATGTCATGGATACAAAAGAGAAAACCTCGGTGACTTCCCAAATTATCTTATTGTTTGGCTTTAATTTTGAGGATAAGTCATTCGATGTTTCATCCTGCCAATTTTATTATTTAGGACTTATATTTGCATGACACGGTCATACAAATGACCTGGAAGATATGTGAGGGTTTACGTCGCACCGGACGACAACCTCGGAACTTAAAGCGAGTTAGGACTTAAATTGCACAACCTGGTTGTGCAGAAGCCTAAAAGATAAAGTGAGGATTTATATAACGTTAGGCAGACGGCCTCGAAGTCCTATGGCTTGTTATTTAAACTATTGAAATATATGCTGTCGTCGATCGTCATCCTCCACCTGCTACTTCTCCATTGTGTTGCCCACGAAGACTTGCTCCAAGCTCCAAACTGTAGCGAATCCAAATTTATAGCGACTCCAAATTTAATGTTTTGTATTTGCAAGTATGATTATTGTTGGGTCTCAAGGGTCTCGGTGCATCTCCTGACATGTGTCCTACTATTCTCTACCCAAGGAGTTTAGCATGTGCATTAAAGGAAATGACGTAATAAGAACAGCAAATCACAGGAAGCTTAAACTAATTGTCAGAAAATCTTGTGTTATAAAATCATAACAATAAAAAAAACGAGCAAAACAAAACACAATGTCACGTATAAAGAAACAGGAGTATGTGACTTATATGTGACATTAGGAATGTCCTCAATTGTCAGGAGGATTTGAGTGTAAGACTCAACTTCAAATCCCATAGCATTGAGTTTCACTGTAGGTTAAGTCATGGCGGGAATTTCACTACTTGATTTAATTAAAACGAAGTTATAAACCACATCTTCATGTATCCTTATGTTTAGTGTTTTAATCGACTTGTGGAATAAGCTCAAGTGTTTAGTTTCATCATTCATTTGAGAATTAGGTAGAAGAACTCTCTCCTAAGGTGTGCTCCTAAAGTCTAGGAAACCTACACCTTAACTTGTGCTTGCAGTGATTTAAGGTGGTTTGCTTTCAATGAAGTGTTTTTCAACTAATCCTCTTATATTTTTTAAGTGTTTTCCAAATAATTAAATCAGAAATTCTCATTTTTGACTTAACCGTTATAACAAAAAAATAAATCAACGGAGAAGGAGGCCGACCCACTTTTAAAAGGAGATCAACAAAGCAAATGGGCAAAACCGCATGTAAATCGGTTTAAAGATGTTTAATTTTTTTTTAAAATGATGATCAAATCAGTCCCATCGTCAAAACAGAGCGAAACCGCAGCCCAAAAACCTTGCCAAAACAGGGCCAAATCGCAGCCCGAAACTTTGCTGACACAGGATCAAACTGCTGCTAAAAACCTTCCCAAAACATCACCAAAAGATGCATTTAAAAGCCCTCAAAACTACAGTCATTTCAGCCCATAAAAACGGTATTTTGAAAAGCTCAAAACTTAACCCAATTCAGCCCACAAAACACATTTTTAAAAGCTCTAAACTGAAACCAATTCAGCTCGCAAAATATGTTTTTAAAATGTTCCAAAGAGCTTGCCAGAATCAGACCATGCACATAAAAATTGAGTGGTATGCGTGTAAACTTCAAGCATTTATGTGATAATCATGTAAAACATAATAATGGGTGGCATATATGAAAAGCTCCATTTTTTTATTTTGCTCTAAATAAAAAAAATTGAGCGGCATGAATGCAAGTTTCCAATGCAAGCAAAAATTCTTTTTAGCTTCCTCTCCTGTTTTCAAAAGAACAAAGAGCAACCACTGATTCAGCAAGTCAGAGGTGGGGAAATAAGGGATCAGCCTCCACATAGAATAACATTGCTCAAGACTCCATTGAAAATAGGCCAGTCATAATTGATGTCAATCCACAGGAGAATTCAGCATTTCAACTTATAAAGTAATGAGGAATTTGGGTGGTATGTATGTAAATTTCCCAAAATAATATAGCTTGAACTCCCCTCATTCTAATAAAGAAAGAAATATAAAGGCAGAAAAAGAAAGAATCTTTCACAAGATGAGCATTTGATTAAAAGAAAGTCGGCCCACCAGTCGTAAAGGTAAATGCAGTAGGGGGAAGACAGAAAACAATCTTTTTCTCTTTCCAACTCAAAACATCAGCAGTGCAGGACATTTTATGGGAAACAATTTCGCACCGGAGCACTAAAAAAAGGATGGAGTGTAAAAGAAAAAAAAACAGTGGGCAGACAAATTATTAACGGAAACCAAGTGTAGTTGACAAAAATCTGAATACTCTCTTCAGTCACCTGCTCACTAAATATAAAGAACTTAACGTAGTCTGCACCAATATACGCCAATTAGCAAATTCTGCATCGGGGTGAAAGACTTCCATGACAGTTAAAGTGTTCTAACCACATGGCTACCATCTTTAAAAAAGAAAAAGAAAACTGAGAGAGCTTGCTTTGCATGCAGATGTAACCCTTGAGATGAAATAAACGAGGGAACAGAAATAACTTACGGTTTGTAAATGAATGAAGAAGGACTCGCCACTTGGGAATAAGGAACGAAAGAGGATCAGGCGTCCTTAGAGCTTGAACGAGAGGGGAAATCAGACACGATGCACAACCAACATTGATCCAACAACCCCTTCTTTTG